GTCTACTTTTTTATTTGTTTATTGCACAGTTCAAAAGGCTAAATCATGTGATTTATATTCTTCCATAGTAATAAAAGTTACAGACTTAGCTGATACTATCCCAAAGACCCAAGGTGCAACTCAAAGCTGAGATGTGTAATAATTTTCAAAGTAGGTCTCCTCTGCCCTCACTGGGCACCATGTAGCATAAATGGTAATAGGAAATGAACAAGGCATGGGTTAAATTAAGCTACAATTCTCCATACATACATAGAACAGTATCTTTAGGGTGATACACTTCTCTTGAACTGCAGTATATATATATATCTGCAAATATATCAGGTTCAACAAATGATATGCAACATCTACTGAGAGGATTTTTGCAGGAGAAAAATAGGAACTGCATTTCATCACAGAATAACCTTTACTAGATCATCTGTCGTCCACAGTAAAATCTATTATTCCAGACTCATTCCAGGTTGGCATATGTCTAACCTATTTTTAAAAACATCCAGTTTGGATTCCTTAATTTCTTTCTGAGGAACACAGAGCCGTAACATGTCTCTGTCATCTGCCGGTGTTTCTTCTTACTGAAGACTGCATGAAGTCTAGAAAAGTTGTTCATAGCTCGCTGGAATACTATTTTGTGCTTATATTTATCAATGAATGTCTCAAAAGACAGGCAGTTTTCTACAAGTGCTGAAAAGCAAATCAGTCTGGCACCCTGCAGATTACTATACACATGACAATAGCCTTTGTTAGCATAATGTATTATAATGCATTATGTAGTGGGTCTCTGAGGTTTAGTAATCCCTGTCAGCAACCAGAATAAATGGAAATAGCTTCCAGGAGATGCAAAGCCTATGAAAAGACTGTTATTTTTCAAGAGCTAGAAGCATTCAGACTCACACATGCAGCCTTTGAAACAAAATCTCATGAACAATCTTTCATCACAATCATTTGTGAAAGTCAAATGCCATAATTGTACTTAAGAGAATAAAGAGAAATTGAACTGAACACTAGCAGTTCTGTACTTTCCCTATTGATAAAAAAATACTTGGTGCATTCTCTCAGGCTTGGTGACAGCAGAAGTTTTTTATTTTAACTTTTGAATATGCTTAGACACTGAATTTGTTAGTTGGAAATAGCCAGGTTCCACATAAAAATAAGCCCACCACTTTGAGGAGGGTGTCTAAAACACAAGTGAGAGAATTTTTTACGTACTTTTAATGCACAACTGAATTGAAAAACAGTCATTAATATTAGATAACAGAGTATAACCTGCATGGGATGAAGGTCCACCAAGGATTACTGAACTCCTGAAGCCATAACTCCTATGCACACTGGGAAAGGCATCTCTTACACTACACTTGCCCTGCTTTTTATGTCCTTCCCTTCAGCAACTCCCAGTGCCCTTTAGCAGGGGGACAGTACTAATCTAGCTAGAGCTTTGATCTCGGCTAGTACAGCTGCAGTAGTTTTCTTACAGTGCTGTGAGTTGTTGACATATTTAGTAAAATTTTTCAAATTCTACTAGTGTAGAACAATTAAAGGCGCAATACCAAAACCCAAAACCCTTCAGATCAATTGAAATTACTAAAACATTTTCAGAAATGCTTAGGTTATTGTAGTTGATACTGCAATTGATGATACATACTACTGTCCTTATGCAGAACTGCTTATTCTCTGTAGCATTCCACTTTGCTGTTTGCACCTTTATTTCTTCCTGTATTTTTAAAGCAGTCATTGCTGGTCAGTTGAAGTTCCAGTTAAATGACCAAAGGCTTTAACAAAACTGTCCTTAACATCATGCTGTACTCATACCATAAGGCAACAGAAAATCAAATAAGCTCTGTTGCTAGAATTTTACCAGAAAAATCCTTACTCCCAAAACATGGAAATGCCTTGGCCTCAGCAAAGTTTCCAGGTACAACAGTCAACAGCCAACTGCAATTGCAGCCTGAAGTTGCAGTGCCACTCTGCATACACATTGCTTGCCTCTGCAGAAGCTCTCACTGTTTCGTCGTCATCTCTTGATTAGATTAAATGAAGATATAGCTGTTAGCCTAACCAAGCCATTTATTCTATTTTTAACCTTGCAGACGTGCACAGAAATGCAAGTGAGGGGAGAAAACAGTGTTAAATTAGGAGAAAGATAGGAAACATCCTGCTGGTAAATCTACTTCCTAAAATCTTTCCTGATCTGAGTCACAGGAAGTTAGCACTGCTTATTTCAGTAGAGCCAATCTCTAACTGTCTGTGCCACGTTTTCCTGGACTACTGTTACCATCTTCTCTGATCTGTCAAGCACTACCTTTTACCAAGGTAATGACAAACATCCTAAAGACCACTTGGAATCACAAAAAAGCTGACTCATCCTACTTTCAGAATACACCATCTGTAATGAAATCAGCAGCTGAAACCTTCCTGCTTTGCATATTTAGTGTTATTCTTTGCCTGAAGTAGAGCCTGGGTTTTTTCCACTACATTTTGTCTTCGAAACAGTAAAGTTGCAAGCGCTCTAGGATTTGAATTGCAAAGGGCTTGAATGATGCAAAGCATTAATTTATTTTCCTGAGGCTTTGTTCTCTGTGGACACTGAGAATATAATCTCATAAGATGATGGAGAGGGCTCTCTTAGCAAAATGAAACTAGTTATCAGTATTGAAACCAGAAAGATAGAAGGATACTCAGACAGAAATAGAGGGTCCTTCTGCTACCATGCCTCGCCTCCTAAAACTGCTTATGCTTGAGCTTAGCAGTCTTTACCCACCAGTTGCTGTATAAGTGCTCTTTGAAGCCATTTACCAGCACGACTCTCTGCTGGTCTGGGTTGGGGAAGACTGTAGTTTGCAGCAGCTGAGGAGGAATGACTGCATATCACCTGGGTTAAGTCATTATCCCTGACTGGAAAACTGACCTGACTCTGCTGGGAGCTGGGTGCAGATTGATTCTCTTCTTATTAGGGCCAGAGGGAAACTTTTAGAGAGCAGAATTTAGTACAGTGCCTTTGGTCACTCATTTGCTTGCCTGTCTAACCATGTTCAACACTTTTTCAAGTGGCTGTGGGAGAGGGAAAGACTGCTCTGTTTCGCTTTTGCTGGCAGTGGGCAGGTTCTGTATGTTAGCATACACGTATGGAATCTGGCAGCAGCAGCAACTATACTGCTCACTAGGACACTAAATGGCATTGTGCAGTGCAAGCAATGAAAAGGTCCTTGCTTTCATGAAAACAGCAAATCATAAATGAAGAGTGGGCATCTTTGTATCTTACTTTGAAGAAAGATTTGACAAAATATTCCCCATATGACTGCTTTGCAGGTCATTTGCAGTGAAAGTACAAATTACTACAGTCTGCCCAAGAGTGTCTCCATAAATGAAATAATTCACTCTGTTGTTGTACAGTTAGTTTTTGATAACTGAACTCTCAACCACACAACTCCCTCTGCTCTAGATTGTCCCTTCTGCTTCAGTCATACCCTGTACAAGTAGATTGGCACAAGTGCTCAGTTCTTTTGTCTTCTGCTCTTACCTTCCTCCACTTACTGCTCTCTGTAGAGGTGCTGGAAATATACCACAAGACAGCATCAAAATAGTAAAATAAAACATGCAATTGTAACAAATAAATAGTAGTTCCTACCCTAAGAAGTGGAGAAGAAAACTGAAGATGGATGTTTATGCAGGAATGTGAAATGTTTTGTTCACCACACAGAGGGTCAGAACACGGGACCTCCCACAGGCCACTCAGTGACAGGCCTTGTGAAGCTTCTGCAGTCTGGGTGCTTGGAGGCTAAACAGAAAGGACAATTTCTGACACCCTACCAAAGAATGCATGTGAAATCCCAGCTGTCTTAGAGGTGGAAGGACTTCAAAGACTAGTTTGAAAAGCCATGTAGGGGTGTGACAACTGGATAAAAAGAGCTAGCTGCTATGGTACTAGGTGGTAGGCTAAATTGTAAGAGTGGCTATAGAGTCTTGCAGACTCTATCGTACAGGCAGTGTGCATAATTTACAGGGTACACAGATTTTTAACCTGACAAGAGGAGTGCCAGAGCATTTAACGTCCCCAGTTTAGCACCATTCAGTCAGCTCAATTCCTTAATATTCACTTTACAATAAATCACAATATAATAATAACAAGAATAATTGTTACAATAATATTCTTACAAGAATAACAACTAAGAAGTAATTTTTAAAATCACAAAATCAAATTAAATAACAAAGTAGTTATACTCAAAGGTACACTTTCTTATAGGAAAGTCCTGTAAGGACTGTTCTTCAGTGCGTGCCTTGAACTGAAGCCAGAACCTGCAGCTGCCAACAGCCCCTTCAGCTCAGATGGAAGCCTCAGGGCTGACGCAAAAATTCAACAGCATGTACTACCACTGTACCAATTATCAAGGGTTTTTCATGGAAATCTTCCTTTCCTTTATGGACTAAACAGCACACTCTTTAATGCAAATAACAAGACTTAGTGGATCTGTAGCCTGAGAGCACCATGTCTGCAGGACTGTGTTAAACACCTTTGCCTTACTATCAGACTTACTGTATACCAACAGTACTCTTTTCAGCAGCAAATTTAAACCCCTAGTCTTAGATTCAGATCAGATTTCTGGGCCATGGAGGACTTCAAATCTTTAGTTACTAAAAAATTTGATAATCTGTTTAGGAGTACAAGTGTTTTAACCAGATCAAGTGCTGTAAAAATCTGGGGGTTTACTGTTTGTGTAACAATAGACCATTCAAGTACAACCACTCGCAAAAACCATATAAATTCTTTCTCTATGCATCACACTTAGTATGTGAGGAAAATTAAGAGTAGGAATTGCTTCTGAAGTTAAGGTATCTCTCTTATGTACATGTGTATTTGAATGCAAGCTAAATATAAATATATAGTACATATATTTACCATTAGTAGAGTTATCTACTCATCAGTAAACAAATATTTTAGTCCAGGAGGACCTACCTTTTCTTGTGCTTCCCTTCTGAAATATAAACTTTCTAAATTTTGTTCTTTCTAGCTCTGTTTTGTGATGTTTTGGACGCCAAACGTGTCAGAGAAGATTTTAGTTGACATAATTGGAGTAGACTTTGCTTTCGCAGAGCTGTGTGTCGTTCCTTTGCGCATCTTCTCCTTTTTTCCACTTCCAGGTAAAAAAATAAAAGGAAAATAAAAGTTCTTTAACCTCGGAGGCTCTTTCAGAGCATAAACATTACATAATGAAAGTTAATACTTCTATCAAAGAGCAAGACAAGCTGGACAGCAATAATCAAAATGTTTCAAATTTCTAGCTCTGTAATTAAATGCAACATCTTATAGTGTTTCCTGCTTGTATGACAAGACAGTCTCATAATGAAAGTAAACTACAAAAACAAGAATAGGTATAGATACATGTAGATAACTTTTTATGTGCCTGACTGTTACACCATGTGCCACACAGGAGCCAGATGGAAAATTTTCCTTGGTAGGAAAATTTTCTCTTTAAGGAAAAGGATAGTTTAGGTGTTTTTTTTAATGAATGTAACAGAATGGACTGTCTAATAAATTTTCTAATTAATTGTCTAATAAATTTTAAGAGATTAGCTCTTAGGAACAAGTGCTGACCATAATGATTTTTTTGTTTCTTCATTTTCCCAAATCAGTATATTAAAGCAACTTGAACATAAAATCTACATCCTTTCTAGTAGAGTGCAAAGTTACCAGCAGTAAGTTTCACGGTGGTTATTTCTGAACAGTGCTCTCCACATGGAAAAGCAGCATATGAGATGACTTTTTTTTTTTTTTAACTATTCTTGCCTCTTTTTTTCCCCTGTTTATGAACAGTGACTGTCAGAGCACACTTGACTGGTTGGCTGATGACTCTGAAGAAGACATTTGTGTTGGCACCCAGCTCAGTGCTGCGGATTATCGTCCTCATCACCAGTCTCATTGTGCTGCCTTACTTGGGGTAAATCATTATTCCTCACGGAACCCATGGATTTGCTTTCTTCATTCCTCTTTCCTGTCACTTGATAGCTGAATTTGCATAGCTCAGAACATTTTCCCCAAATACTAACCATGATACAAAGCCTAAATAGTGTCACTGTCTGGAAATGAAACATTTACAAATTTACAAGCATGACTGCTGTAGACAGGCACAATAATGATGTTCCTTTGTGAAAAATACACAAATGTCAAAGCGGCAAAAACGTGTCCTAAGGGCAATTTATTTCCATGTTATTAAGCAATAATAACTGTTAAGAAAGCTAATGGAAGAGTATCTGTTTATAAGTTTAATAATCTATTCTGCAGCACTCTGTACAAGACTTTAAATTCTTAGTCCATAATTTGATTCAGTGTGCTTCTTTTACTAAACAGTGTAGCCATTTAAAAAACCAGTTATTCTCTTAGGCAGTGTATTGTGTCTTTGAAGAAAATATTTCTATCAGCAGATTGGTTATATATGCCAGTGAAAATGTAATTATGAATCATGCATTATCACACAACAATCACTTCTTTCTTTCTATGCCTCCAACAGAGTTCATGGAGCCACTCTTGGAGTAGGATCCCTTCTCGCTGGTTTTGTAGGAGAATCCACCATGGTCGCAATAGCGGCCTGTTACGTCTATAGGAAACAGGTAAGAATTAGTCTCTGAATCTCTGGATCTGAAAGCAGGTGATGAATACAGAGGATTTTAGTTCAGATTAAGTTACACTTTAGCAGTGTAACTCCCCAGAATCCTCACTTTGGTTTGCTTCCCTGTTATGTCTCAGGAGTGTGCAGCTTGGAAAGTCTTAGGGTTGAAATAAAACCTAAAGGTGCCCTCCAGCTGCTGATAGGCATCTATGCCATGGGACATGCTGGTCTGCAGTCAGAGCTTCTTGTTTCCCAACACACATGTATCATGGATATCCCATCCTTACCACCAGCAGTTTTGTGCTGTATATTTGCTACTGCAGTAGCAAATTAGCATTTTTATGTCGGCATAGGAACTATGCATCCAATATGTGTATCTGTATGCATATAGAATCATAGAATCACAGAACAATAGAATGGTTTGGGTTGGAAGAAACCTTAAAGTTCCAAGGAGTTCTAAGTTCCCTCCCATGGGAACATGGAGTTACATAGGGTGTACATTTATATCTGTATGTATACAATATGTAATACATATATCTCAGTATATATACTTTTATTTGTTTATAAAACAAGCTCTGCTGAAAATCGACAAGTAGAGGCACTTATGTTTTTTTGCCATCTAGAGAAGTGGCTTAAAAGAAGACATAGGCCTGCAGCAGTTGACAGTAAGAGCTTATAAATAAATGAACAGGTGCATTTTTACGTATTTTAAACACTACAGTCATGTAGTAGTGCTCTACATGTGTAGAGTAGTAGTGATATATCTATTTTGAAGAAGATTCCACTAAATTAAGTCAAACACAGGCTGGGTGACTGGGTACATTGCTGTACCTGCATTTTGTTCCCTTTCAGTTGTGAGTTCGAGGCACCATGTAGGGCACTAGGTCCAGCTCCAAGCAACCAGAAAGCTGTGTACATCATTCTGTAGTGCAGAAGGACTCTGTGGAAGGGAACAGAAAATATAATCTATGCGGTGACTTTTTTTTTTTTTTTCTAATTAGACTTCTTATTAAGTGCTAAGTGGAAATACCCACCACTTATATTTTTGAAAAAGAAAACAACAAAAAAAAACCAAAAAGACCCACAGATGATGGAATATCTAAAAGCCTTATATTGGAACAACCTAAAATCAGTTTTGATATGTGTTGACAGTGCAGGCCATGGCAAGAGATCAAAGTGACAAGGTTCATAAGACATTAGAAGAATCATAATCTCTGTCATGATTAATTTCTCATGTTTGCCTCGAGAACCAAAGAGTAAAACTTTTAGACACTGAAATGGCTTGTGTCTTGACCTGTGGTTTCACAACATCCTCATTGCTAGTTTGTTACCATGGTAGCTCACAGAGTCTTTCTGGCCAGGGTTTAGTTTTAGTGCTTAATTTTTCTCAGTGGTGAGTGCAGGTAGTAAGAGTAGTAACTGTGCCAACATAATTTAGTCAGCGTGACAGTGGCAGAGCCAACCAAGTTGTTCTCACCTGTATTTGGAGAGCTGCAGATCAAATGTTGTGTAGACACCTCTGAAATTTTGGAACTCTCATACACCCATCTCGGCTGAATCAATACCTGTGGGGGATATTTTGTCAGCTGTACAACTGTTTTCAGTAAAACTAGTCAGCCTGCTGAGAAGTGGGTAATAAGGAACAGCTGCTTCAACTTGTTTTGTAGGGGGCTGAACTCTTCTTAGCTTTACTAATCCAGGACATCCTGGATGAATCATAGGACTCTTGAATGACCTCCTGCTCCTGCTAGCCAAAAATACTCTAATATTACTTGGCCTTATGAGGCAAGGGATCACAGTGGATCAGCAACACTAAGCCAGAATGCTCACATCTTCTAAAATTCCTGATGTTTGACATTTGAGAAATTAGGTTGCCACCTCACCTCCCTCCCTAGAGAAGCTTTTCTTCTCTCCCATTTTGTTTTCCTTCCCTTTTTTTTAATAAAAAGTCTGTGATGTAAAAGATTCCAGATGCTCTCTTCCCTCCCGTCATGCTGAAGCCTGTTTTAAATGTTGCTTAGCATAAGAAATGCTTGATTGCATTTATGTTAGAAAGGAGAAAACAGCCCCAGAAAGGCTATGGAAATCTTCTAAGTTAAGCCAAGTTATTAGTGGCAAGCCACAAATATGACACAAATATTCTAGTTTTTAATAACATACTCTAAACAAACCATATTCTCACCTCACTTCTCCCCGTGTCCAAAGTTGGTAGGAGTGTGTTCATGCACAGCTTACTGATAGGTTTCTGGATGCTTGTTTCAATCTAGAAAAAGAAGAGGAATGAGAATGAGACAGCTGCAGAAGGCGAAGACTCTGCAATGACCGACATGCCTCACACGGAGGAAATGACAGACATCGTAGAAATGAGAGAAGAGAATGAATAATAAATGGGATGCAATTGTTCTCTGCAGGGACGATTGGAGTGACGCTTCAGCATCTTGTCGTCTCTCATACTTTTTTGTTTGTTCGTTTTTATTTTTGTAATAAAGAGGCCTTGATTTAAAAGGTTTCAGATAAATTCTCTAGCATACTGAGTATGCTCTCACTGATGAGGGACCTAAAAAGAGGTCTTTGCTTCTTTTTTTTTTTTTTTTTTCAACTGAATTTTTTTTCTCACTCCATGCAAGCATAAAAGATACAATTGCATCACTGTAGAGTCTTCCTTACTTAAGCATCCACCTTCTCTGGACAATCTGCATTTGTCAACCAAAGCCCTGCTCCCGTGCACCTGTGTGTGTGCGGCCCTGTGCTTGCACGCTCACACATGCACACCGCCACGTGCCACTGGCTCGATGCTACTGCCATAACCCCACTCCCTCCCCTCTCTCCTTTTCCCTCCTTTTCTTTATGAGAAATGGAAAAGAAGTTTGGAATACAGAGCTTTATTTTACTTGCTTGAAAATGACTTTGCTACATAAACTAATATACTATGGTGAACTGTATCTTTTTGTTTGGCCTCGTCACTAGAGCTTATACTGCACAGGGTATAAGACAGGGAGGAACGTGGGAGTCTCCCCATAAAAAGCGGAGAAAAACAGGTTCCTCTCTCATGTTGAAAGTATGTGGGTGTGTATACACACACACAGGTACATGAACAGAGACATACATATATATATTTATATATATATATATGCATATGATAAAATACACACAGGACAAGAACTCTATTTAGCTTTCATTCCATCAGAAAGATAGTAATCTTTTGAAAAATATAAACATTGAATTCAGAATTTTCTTGAATCATTAAGTCCCACCTTACGTGTAATTTTATTTAGGAAAAAAAACATGCACTTTCCTCTTGTAAAGAGGGTGATGGCAACTGATAGACTTTGACTGTATTTGAATAAAACAAAAATAAATATTGACAAGCTTTACCAAAGTTCTTGTCCACTGATCTAACTTTAATTTTTAAAGGCTGATTCATTCTCTATAATTATTTCTGGTGCCTCTATATTAAAAAAGAATAAGATCAGATAATGTATGCAGGATACCACGCTAGATAACATTACTACACATAGTTCCATAGAATTTTTTATATAGAGATGTACACATACTCATATGTGTATGTGCATGTGTATATATACATTTCTATATACATGCGCACACACACAAAAATGTATGTTTTGCTATAATGTATTTACCTATGCAGTAGATTGAAGTCCATATGGTGAAGCTCAAGTACTGATGGTCCTCCAAGCTGAAAATTAGGCACTTTGATGATCTGTTGGCTCTCAAGGCAGCGTTGTGTGGGAGCAAGGAGCCATTCACATCAGCCCTGGGGAGCTGTGCGCTCCATGTGCTTGTGGCTGGAGTGTGCCTTAAATAACAGCGTGAGGTCAGGTGGGAGACTCAGATTAGGTGGAAATGAAGGCTGTGTAAGAGGTGAGGGAAGCAGGGAGGTTTTGGGTGTCACTGATGCTGCTGTGGCAGCAGCTTGTGCTTCTGTGCTCTTCTGTGTTTGGCTGCGGGGCAGCACTTGTTACTGGTCTGTAGTAGTTTGGGTCCTTTCAGATTTAATCATGTCAGAGTCTGGAAACCATTATCCTCCATCCTATATCCATAAATCAGTTAATTTAAACCTTATTTAGTAAAAGTATATTTTTCTAAGTTATGGAAATTATTATTTAATTGTGGACAAATTGTTTCTAGATTTATTTGCCAGGTAGTCCCAGCAGTCAGAGAACTGATCAAAACTAAACATTACTTAAATGTTTTATCACTATATGTGTGTGTAGACATACACATGTGTATAAATATATATATATATTGTATATTATGTACATTTCTTTTAAACCACAATACGTTTGCTATTTTTCCAAGTTCAGCTAAAAATGTCTCTACAAAACTACTGAGTTGACTAGTAACCAGTTATGGCCATCATGAAAGACATTGTATCAATGAACTTCACAATTTATTGGAAAGATTTGTACCAATCTGTTACATGTGCAAATACAATAAGAAAGAAATGTAGAAGTTACTGTGTTAACTGGCAGATTTGCAAAATCAGTTCATAGTTAATGAGCAGTGGCACTAGGAGGGTAAGACTAAAACCATGTAGTAACTAGTAACCATGTTTGCAGTGTCACCACAGGGTAAATACTTTTTGACAGTAGTTTAAAACAAATTCTTTTTAAAAACCATCAGATGAATTAATGTGTGCAGGATGTAGACTGTACACATTCATGAATACAGGTTCTCAAACAGTCATATGTATATAATGTGTATATAGACAATTACAGATCACAGTGGCCATTTGAGGTCTCCTCTATTAATGTAGTTTTGGTTTCTCTGGTACATTTGTCTCCAAGTCCACAAGATGCAGTTTTTCAGGAACTGTAGAGATGAAGCAGAAAAATATTTTTGTGTAATGTTTCTTTTGGTACGTGACTAAAATTTAAACAGCAGTATTTTTGAAGAATTTTGAGCATTAATACCATGGAGCATTACCAGTACCATTTCAAGGAAATGATTGCACCAAAAAGTAAAAATCTGAAAACAAAGGATAACACTGAGGCTTTTACTTTAGATAAAAGATGAACAGATATAAAAAAATTAATTATTGCTCATACAGAGCTAAGCAATGCTAATGGCATTGTAAAAGATAAATTTTCAGTTGTATGTGTAATACTAGTGCTTTATTTTGCAAGATACTGAATGAGCACAGGAGTGGTGGGATTTGGGCAAGAATTGAAGCAGTGACATATCGATACCTGTATTGCATCTCTTTCTGCTTCCTGCAGGTCATGTATTTCTTTATATTTCTCTGCTGGATTAACAAACTGTGATGACATTTCTGCAGGGAGTGGGTCTTAGCCAGCCCCTCATGCTGGCCCAGGTGCTTGCTGGTGGGAAAGCAGGGTGCTCAGTGAGGGGGGAGCTCTTGCTCTGTCCCTTGCAGACACTGGGCCTACTTCTGGAACTGTTGGCAGGAGTTTCAGCAACCTTCTGAAACCTCGCTGCTCCCTGTTAGTGGGACAACTATGGGTTGGGAGTGGGCAGACATCCTCTGTGGCCAAAGCCCCAGTCAGAGCATCACTGATAGTGTCTCTATCAGGTAGGTGCTGGTACATGCCCTGTCCTGCACTTTTCCTTTCCAAAAGTACTTCCTTCAGTTCTAGTAAAGTGGCTTAGCAGTGTCTCTCTTGTGCTGTTGCTTATGAAATAGCTATGTATCTCAGTGGTAATTATTCTGCAATAGCAACCCGTCTTGTTTCTGTGTCAGAGAGCTGGAGCACCGTCATCTCAATGAATTCATGTGGAGACAGCCTTTCCAGATTGAATTGCACAATCAAATTTACAATAAAAAGAGAAAAAAAGTTGATCTGCATCTTACATCTTATGTTGCAGAGCAGCTCACACAGTGGGAAATAACAGCAGAACACCAATAAGCTGAGGATTAATGTTCCTCTGCTTTTAATAAGTACATAAAGTTGTGTTAATGTGTCTTGACCTTTCCTTTTTCAGAATTAAGAGGAAACACTGCAGGTTTTTTCCCCTCAGTGCCCTAAGCAGGCTGTCACGTTCACCAAGCACGGGACTTGATGGACAAAGCTCTGCCCTTCTCAGCCAGTGTCTGAAGCCATTTGGGTGCAGCAGCGGGCTCCCTGGGATGGGGCAGTCCCGCTCCCCATCCCCCCTGGCACAGCCATTCCAGGCAGCAGGGCTCAGATCCCTGCTTGTTTAGATAGAGCCGCCCTAAGTGAGAGGATTGGGTAAGTAACAGAGAAGTCCTTTTGTTTTCTACTCATTTTGCTGCTAAATATTGCCTTTGAGCAGGAGATTTATATCTGGCTCTTGCTCGGTGTTTCACCGAACCTGCAGCCAGAGAGAAGCAGCCCCAGACGGAGGAGGGTTGGCTGATGAATGCAGCTGATTCAGGACAGGCCACGGCCCACGAACAGAAACCTTTTCAAGGCAGGAGCGCCTTCTTTTGTGGGATGGCGCCTCGTGCTTAAAAAGAAGGGAGAAAGGCTGCTTTCAGGCCTGGGCAGCCAGAGGCGTCGGGCGTAGTTTTGTGTTGGGCTGCAAGGTTGCAAGGGGAAGGGAGCATCCTGCAGTTTCAGCATTCCAGCCCTGCTGCTGGTGAAGTGCAGGACGGTGTAGGGCATGGCCAGGCGGCAGGACCGAGGTCTTGTGGTTGTGGCATGGTTGGCAGAAGCTCGAGTGCAGCTGGGTGTGCACCTGGGGATAGTGGCAGTGACCCTTGGAAAGCCCATGTATATGTGTATGGGTGTGTGTAGGACAGTGTTGCACAAGCAAGTTTGTTTTGACTTTGGAATAGTTCCTTGGAACAAGGGTTCAAGTCTAAACATGATCTCGACTCATACCAAGCCATTTTTTAAAATGCAATTTAAGCTACATAAAAGAGTAAATGAAACAGCAGACCTTATACCGTTAAGCTAAAACATGATTTAGATTAGTGAGATGGAATGGGAGAGAAAGAGGACATGCTGAAAATCTTACAGATATTGTATATCCCTCCTAAAGACAGCAGCATGATATGGAGATGAGAGAATAAGAGGGCAGAGAACACCATTTTCCTTTCAGCTGTCCTGGAGAGGGACTGAAGAATGAGGAACAGTGTGTTCATGTAACAAACTGTGTTGGTTTCCCAATAGAGGATCTTTCAGAGACAGGAGTGTGAAACACCTTTGAAGATGATTCAAGCAGAAATAAACCAGCATGTAGATTTTATAATGTGCGTAAGGAGGCACTGCGCATCTTCCAGTTTTTGAGTAACTGACAGGGCTGCATTGGGGGAATGCCACTTAAGTATTAATTAAACGTGACAAAATCACAATTTCAATAGCAAATTGGCATGTCCCAAATACCAGCTTAACCATAATATGTTAGGATTCCCTTCCCTTGTTGATGTTTGGCTTTCAACTAGAGTAAAGCAAACCATCTATTTTGAAGGGAGTGAGGTCCTGTGGAGGGGCTGCAGTGCAGAACAGGCTGTGGGGGCTTGTGGTAGAGTCCCAGGTATGAAGAGCAGCTCTGAATTTATTTTGTGCCCTGCAACACGTGGTAGCAGCCTGGCAGCATTGTGAAACAAGGCAGAAATTGTCCACTTAGCAGCAAACTGGGTCCAAGCGTGGTCACAAGCTGCAGCAGCCCTGCAGAGCAGCAGGAGGCCATGGGATGCAGGGTAGCCCTGGCTCCAAGCTTGGGCTCAGGCAGCTTGTGTGGATTTGCTTTGGAGCACCAAGTTCAGTTGTCAGCACAGAGATGCAATCCTCAGCAAAACCACTGCCAGACTGCTCAGTAATTGGCACCTTCTGAACAAAAAGGCTAAAGACAAAATATGGGGGCAGAGAGATCGAGCTTTAGGCTCAGCTTGGAGCACAGACTTGCACAGAAGGACATTTTGGCTGCGGCTCCTGCAAATTAATTGTAGGGTTAGAGAGTGAGCTTCAGTCTCAGCATTTCATAACCGTGACCTCCAATCCATCTCAGTAAAACAGAAGAATGGCAGTATATTTCTAGGTGCTCTTTTGTCTATAAGCCCAAGGGGAAACTTCTCCTTAGCTTTACCAAACCTTGTCACTGCTCAAATTGATTTATTAGTTTTACCTCGTTATTTTCTGTCATTCCGAGTTTAGTGTCTTCAGACATTTCCTCATTTTCTTCTGAAGGTTTCTGCTAGGCTTATTTTGTCTGTTGGCATTTTGAGAAGGAAAATGTAATTGTCATGCTGACTGGATGTCAACTAATGCTGTGATTAAAAAGTAGCTTACAACAAAACTTTTCTTTGATGGACTGTTTTTTACTTACTTGCTAAGCTGAAAAGGAGTCGAGAAGTAGGAGGAATTGGGGGGAATCTTTATCTAAAATCAAGAATTAAATGAGTTAAATTAAGTTCATTTCCTTAATGAACTCCAGCCACCTTGTGACTTTCTAGTGAAAACCTTTACTCAGACTTTTCCAGCAAAGTTATCAGTGCATCCCCAGAGCAGCACAGATTAGTTTGAGGCATGCAGGTTTTGTATATTTCACAACTGAATGTATAAGAATGAGTTGAATAGCCTGATTAACAGGGTTAACCATTATGTTTAACCATTAAGTTTAAAATTCATCTGGACATGAGCAGGCTAGTCCAGTATCAAAGGTGGCCCTGCTTTGAATGGACAGGGACTTAGCAAAAAAACTGCCTGTAATCCCCTTACAACCTAAATTGTTCCCTGATTCAACCAGGAAACTAGAGAGATTCCTTCATCTTAAAGTACTGAAGACTGCTTGCCTTTTTTCAGTCTTTTGGTTCAGGATTGAGAGACTGTGCATGGTAGGGCGTCTACAATGTAGATATGTGAGCAAAAACGTTGAGCTGCACAGATTACTTTGCTGATGACAAAACTTTGGTATTGCAGAGCCAGCTTTACAATATCCTCCCACCCTCTGGGAGCCTACATGAGAGCAAAGCAAAAATAAGCTTTTGTATTGGCAGATAATGTATTTGAGTACTGTACTGCACTTCTCCTGTTAACTCTAAGCAAAACTGCCTGGAAACCACAAGCAATTGCACTTATAACCTGCTTCTTCCCACTTCTCTTCATGTGCATCATTCAGCATTTAAAAAAAAGCTACCTTTTCCTCATAACTCCCCTTTGTAATCAAGGTAATGCAAAATAAATACTGACATTTACATAATAGAATGGCTTGGCCTACCTGCAAATGAGAACATATAAATCCCCTCTTAGGAAAGGATGTAAAAATTGGAACAGCAGCTTTATCCATAATTCAGCAAAAACCCCACAGAAATGCAAAGAAAAAATTGAAGAACTGAAAATAAATTAATTTCATTAACTTTTAAGGAGACTATTGTCTAGGTGGCAAGCAAGGTGTATGTACACACACAGAAAAGCCTGGAACTAACTTCATTGCTCAACTTTGTAGTTTGCTTTCCAAAGCAAATCTAGCTCTGTTTTTGTGCCTATTATGATGAACAAAAAGTCCCTCCTATGCTATAATTAAACAATTGGAAGGCTTCAGGCTATAAATTAACTAGTTACTTAGATCAACTGATTTTATCCAAGTTTGCAAGCACCACAAAACTGCAAAAGCAAAATCAAAATTAAGAAGAAGAAAAAAGTTAGATACCTGTTTTTGTAGATGACATTTTCTTGCTTATTACCATCAACAAGATTTTCACTTGGCTTAATAAAATTATTTGCAATATATTTGTATATTTTTAAAAAGCAAATGCACATGATGCAAGGCTTAACCTGTGTTTTCAAATGGCAGAAACGGCCCCCGCTATCATAAAGGCAATCAAACTCAAATCATGTCAGGCTTTGATCTTCCAGAACATTGCTCTGTCTGCCCCCTTATTTTAGATAATTTAGATTATTTTGTGGTGTAACTGCCTCTGCCTTAGTTTTGTGAAGCCAAATACCTATGGAGGGTTTCTGATAAGAGATTTGAAGTTGGGATTGCAGGTAGTGTCAAAGCCCCCTGCACCGATTGTGCTGTTTGGCAGGGCACTCTACCACCACGGGCCACAGAAGTTTAAAGTGGACTTGAGTTTCTCTGGTGGAACGGTTGAAACGCATTTCACGGGGTTTGGGCAGCACAGGTTAGCAGCATTCCCTTTGAGAAAGACTTGTTAAACCTACATGAGACAGAAAGCTTCTGAGAGTGCCTGAGGAGGAGCACATGTGAGTGTTGAGGAGAGAGTGTATGTATGTGGACAGAGATGGACAGATGGCTGCAAATGAATGAGCTGAAGTGTCTTTTGCAATCACCCTGCAAGGACCATACTGGTGGGCAAGGAGAGCAATAAACCCTTCATTTACTGTCTTTAGTGAAAAGTTCTCTGGCATTTAAAGGTTACCAGGCATCTCAGTTGATCCTAGTTACTAGAGAAAAACAAACTTTGCAGTGCTAGGAACACAACAGAGAGAGCAAAATTCACTGCACCTTTTGCAGTGGAGAAGCCAGCGTCACACAGCCTGCTCTCTCCATCTTTGCATATTTGAGCAGGGCCAGCCACAAGGTCACTCTAGAAGGAAACTACAAATGTTAAGCAAAACGTAAAGTACAGAGCAGCAGCTGAGAACTGTTTTGTCTTCACAGCAGGCAGTCATCATGGAGGAGAACCAAACTGTGTAGCGGTAACTCCCAGGAAGTCTCAGTTCTGATGCAGTTTCTGAACAAAGATAGCTTTGACCACATCATGCAAGGCCAGACTGCACCATTTGTAACATGATACTACAAGCACAGAAGGTTCTCCAGTTTCAGAGGGGTGCTATAATGCTGGTGAAAGTTGTTGGGATACTACAGGGAACAGTGTCACAGAAATGCCTAAAAATACTGAATTCATATTTACATGTTCTAATTGTGCCTTTGGGTTCTCTAAAACTGACTTGTTTTTAGTTTTACATAAATACTTTTAGAATTTAGAGTGAGAAGTAGCATCTCGAAGCAGCATCCTAAAAAAAAAATAAAAAAGGCAACCCAAAATCTGAAGATTCTTGCTCAGGAAAGAGGGGAAAGGAAGTTTGGGAGCCTCATCTTTTCCCAGCCTGGCCCTCTGACCATGGATTATTCTGCAGGACAACATCTTGTTCTGTTCTCAGCCAGCTAACAGTGCTGAAAGAGGCAAAAGCAGTAGCTAGCCACACTTTGCCAAAGCTGCCCGGAGATTAAGGTCAATTCTTGATCAACACACTTCTGTAGAGAAACAGCCACATTTTTCAGTTTGTTCCTATAACTTGAAGGTAAATCTGAGAATTAGACAAATGCATATTTCACCTGAGAGATATCAGTGGGTTTTCATTTCTTTCAGAATATCTTTCAGCATCAACATCAGATTCTTTCTTAGGATAAAGCTGTCTTTATGCAAAGCAGTGTGCCTAATAGCCATCCTCAACTACTTAAACAAGTCAATTTTGCAAGGACTGTAGGTATCAAGCCAGAGCACTGTTTGGAACTACAGTACAGGGATCCTAGATTTTAAATGAAATGTTACCTCATGCATCATTTTCTATCATACTTGTAGAATTCCAGTTCGTTTATCTCAAAATAAATGTTGCTTTCTGTAATATGTACACATGCTAAAGCTGCTGGTATGTTTTTTTAATGACTGTTTTGCTTTGCTTTAAACCATGTGGGCTTTCTTTAAACAAAAATGAAGGTTGAAACTTTGTACATTTTTAAAATGACTGCCAAGGTCAAGAGTATAGAAGTATATGTCTCATTAAAATTGAGTGCTGTTTATGTATTTAACAGAGATGTACGTTTTTGCATTGTTAAAAAGAATGATCCATGCCTTCTTTGAGGGGGATCTGTGCTCCAGTATTGTCCAATAGCTTTCATATTCCAATTACGTTAATTAAAGTTCTAACAGTTTGCATATGATTTGTGATTCTGATTGCTTCTTGTTGGGTTCAGGGGCCACAGAATCATGTCCAGGGAGGATACTGTTACCAGGAACCAGCATGGGACACCAAGGAGATGGGCTTCTGAAACCATTTATTCAGCACAGGAACAAACTCAGCTTAAATCCAGTGAGAGCCCTGAACAGAAGCAGGGGGATGGGTTTTGAGGGACAGAACCAGGGTGTAGTTTGAGGTCAGGGACTAATAGGAACACAGCAAAGGAGAAAGCCCAGGGGCACAGAACCAACCAGAATCCTTGGGTTGCCACCCCCACGAGAGTCCAGGGGTGGGGGCAACTCCTCCTGGGCTCACAGGGCTCATCCCCCAAGGCAGAGGAATGGAATCCGCTCTTCCTGGGCTTTAAAGCCATGCCTCTCATTTTAACAATGCTTATCTGAAACTATCTTTGCCTCCCTGGGTGGGGGACACCTCATAACTGCCCCTTTTTTTAATTAAATTTTGATTAGGAGCTTAGAATATTTCTAATATTTACACCATAGAAAATCCAACCCCCCCACAAAGCACCTGCCTTGCTTTGTGGTACACCAAAACACTAGTCTCCAACAACAAAACACATTAAACAAACAAACACAAAACAAACAAAATTAAAAACAAACACTTAAAAGACAGCAGCCAGGCAAATTAAGCAGTGGTGGTAGTTAATAAAAACGTAAAGGTTTTTTAGTTCGGTCTCTTCCAGTTCTGGATTTTCTCTTAGGAAGGGTGCAGTTCTTTGATCTCCTCTGACAAGGGGCAAAGTTCTTAGTGTTCAGCTTTGGCTCCTGTCCTGAAGGTATGGCATTGCCACTTCAGATGGTTCTGGTGAAATGCTGGCCTTCGGAGCTCAGGTTACAGTTTTGACTTTCCTGGAGGGGTTGTTACCCATGATGGAAAAGGCACAGCCCTCAAGGTGGAACATCCAGAGAAAGGGGTGGAACTGGAGAAGGCTTAGTGGTTGGAGAAGAAGGAGTAAGGGTGGGAAAAGGGGATCCCAGATGGCATTGCCGGTGCCATCTTGGGAAGGGAGGGTACAGGACAGACTTTCCCGGACCGGGAACAGGGAGTATGGAAAGACAGGGGGTGAAGGAGGACATGGAACGGCGGGCAGACGGCAGCAGACCCACATCACTCTGGATGTTCTCCGTCCCTTGCCTGCCTTCAGGAAAACAGAGGATGGGATGGCAGAGAGACACCAGGGTGACGGGGAGCTGGCAGCAACCCCGAGCCATCTTGGCTTTTTTCACCCTTTGTCCTGCCCTTAGGAACAGAGGAGAGAGAAAGATATGGGGAGGTATACACCAAAAAAAAAAAAAAAAAGAGGGACTTCACAAAAGCCAAAAAACAGTCCACAGGAGGAACAATACTGTCCATATCATCCATACTGTTCATATCCATAAAAGTCCTTTCCATGTATAACAAAAAATAAAATCATCCATAATACATCTCGTTGGGTGATGGTAGATGTTAGTCCCATCACCCGGTCTCACCCCCCCTGCCATAATCCCTTTTTCCCCATGCCTCTGAGGCACTCTCAACCTGGCACTCCTGACAGGTAGTCTCGAGTCCTCCTTTCTAAGGCAGGGCTATCACCGGCTGTCAAGCCATCAGCTGGGGATTTATGGGGTGTCTGTGGAGCCAGTGGTGCTATTACCCTGCTGTCTTGCTGGCTGCCCACATCCTCCACCATTTGTTGCATTCCACAGCCGCAGGATCATGTCCAGAGAAGCTACAGTTACCAGGAACCAGCACGGGACACCAACGAGACGGGCTTCTGCTCATGAAACCATTTATACAGCACAGGAACAAACTCAGATCCAGAGACAGAGAGCCCCGAACAGAGGCAGGGTGATGGGTTTTGAGGGGCAGACCCAGGGTGGAGTTCAGGGTCAGGGACCACTAGGAACACAGCAAGGGAAAAACCTCAGGGGCACAGAATCAATCAGAACTCCCTGGGCTGCCACCCCACGAGGGTCCAGGGTGGGGCAACTCTTCCTGGGCTCACAGGGCCCATTCCCTAAGGAAGAGGGATCCACTCTTCCCGGGCTTCAAAGCCACGCCTCTCACTTTAACAATGCTTATCTGAAACTAAATCTTTGCCTCCCTGGGCAGAGGCACCTCACAGCTTCTGTTTTATTAATTCTGGTAATCTGACATGGTCCAAAATGCTAGTCTCAATTGGAACAAGCTAAATATACCTCCTGGTGAGAAATTAATCCAACACTCAAATTGTTTTTGAATTATGAGCATGATGCTGCCAACTGCAAGGTCTTAACTTGAAGTTAATGAAATCCAAAGGTATTCATAAAATGGTGCAAGACAAACTCTTTGTTTCTACAAAGCCTCCAAGTGTTGTTGATATGGAAATACCATGGTCAGAATATGATTTCTATACAAAATCAAATGTTTTTATCATTCCTGTTAAACAGACACTGAGCATTTAAAAGGAGAGTAATATTCTTATCAGACTGAGGCAAGCTCAACTGTCAAGAGAAGATTCATCCATCTGGCAAGTCACCAAAGCTGTACTTATGAAGCTAAAAAGGCATTCTTAATCAAAAATGTTTTTTTATTTCCAATACATTCCTTAAGTACTCCCAAATGACCAAATGTGAGCCACTCAGAGCCAATGAGAAGACTGGCTTTTAGTGTTTTGACACTTGAGCCGCTGCTGGTTTTAAAATAGTCTTGGAGAGGTACCATGGTAAGACTGTGCTCATACTTTCTTTGCTTATGACCCCTTGGGATCCTGGTGCCTCAGCTGTTCTTACACTGGCCCACAGCAGAAAGATCAAGCCTTAGGGTCTCCTGCGCCTTGTCAGCCCTTCAGTTCTTGCCTGTTTCTTCTTGTCTCCTCTTTTTGGGGCTCCATGACCACCCTCTTATGCCCCTGGCACCTGTGAAGGGATGGGAACAACAGCTCTGTTGCTCCTGGACCTTGGTGCAGGACTGTCCAGGGGACATTCAGAGAACTCTGAACTGGCTTTCACCATGTCCAGCTTCCCCATCCCGCTCTCCAGCTATGGCTGCAGAGAGTATTGGCTTATGTGTAGTCATGTTCCTGTCTGAGACCAGGAGGGCTGAGCAGAGCAGAAAACATAATCAGAGTATCTACACCAGCAAATGATCCATCTCTGCCCCACTCACAGGCACACACTCGCTGGCTGCTGGCACCTGCTGGCATGGCTGTCCCATGCACAGAGTGGTCCCTGACCTTCCCAAGCTCCCCCTGCCCAGAACACTGCCCTGGCACAAGGCCGTGCTAAAACAAACAAACAAACAAATAAATTAATTAATTAATTTAAAAAAAAAAAAAAAAAGGGAGCTTGCATAGAGGTCAGAAAAAGATACTGCCCTTGTGCCTGCTGGTTCTCTGCACCCGCTCATGAGACCAGGCCAAGGGAGCCAACGTCCCATGGCTTGGAAGGCAAAATCCTGTTTGGAAACAGATTTGAGAATTATTGCCACGCTGCTTCATTTTGAGCAGACTGAGCAAAGCCAAACAGCACAAACAGAGTCACACGGTGGCCAGCTTGACATTTCTCAAACTAAGCTTTCTCTTTCAGGGACCTTGTAGGCTTTATTTCACTCTTCTTAAGAGAGCAAGGGCGTGATCTGAAGCAGGTAAGAAGTAAGACATGCAGTTTGAGGGCAAATAGCAACCTCACCTTCTTAGCCTGTAGTCTTGAAAGTTTCCTCTCCCTTGCACCCATCAGCAGCCCCTCCTCTGACCTCCATCAGTAATGACAACAATTAGCTCTTCTATTAACCATGTATATTGAAATATAATCCATTGTATTCCCCCAAAGGGCATGCACAGACCTCAGATGAGAAAGTGCCCTACTCCAGACAGAAACCCTCCAACTTGTGGGTGGTTCTGCACAGCATTTACTCTTGTGTCCAATAATCAGTGACAATGCGGCAGAACGCAGCTCTGCTGGAGCTCTACAGCGTCTGTGCTGCCGGGGGAAGACCTCTTCTGTGCCAAGGAAAAGGGCTTCTTACTGCAGAGAGGAAATAAAGTACTGACACTAAGAGACCTATAGCACTAAGGGAGCAGAAGCCTC